CATTACATGTTAATCGAAACAATTGGTTGGCTTTCTACTGCTTTGCGAATGACCCTTTAATTGTTGATTTTACAGGGGTCCCTTATACTAGACGGTGTTCGAAGCCTAGTACGCCGGCCCTCGGTTTGCCCCATCCTTTTCTATGATCCTGCATAAGAAACTCGTATTAACTATATCGAGGTCGTCGCAAACATACATGGACAAGCCTCGATGGTCCTGGAAAAATGTAGGTATGGTAGGAGTTTGAGATACAACGTCAAATCGACTAGGAATGTGGAGGTATACGATGGGATAACACGGCGGCGGCACGATGATATGTGGTTAGGATTGAGGATTGTGTTTTGACACGTCAGTCTCTGGAACGAGTAGGTCTCCTGTGTGCAGGGCCGAATCGTTACTGAAGTTCACCGTGAATTTTTCACAGGCACATACTACAAAATGGTCAGTTCCTCATCGATCATCGAGCATATTCAAAATTCCAAACACGAGAAGGCAGTAATAGGATATTCAGAAGCTCCCAGGCTAACAGCTTCATTGATAATTGCATCGTTGATGAGGCGCAAGTCCTCAAAAATTCCGTCTCAAATATATATGTATACATGAGTCACCGTTGCCTCAGGTTCGAGCACCAATCCTGATCGAAGGTAGCCGTTCCTTCCTTATTTTGGTGTCCTGTGGCGTCTAATGTTCACAGCTGGAAGTCCGAGTCAATGCTACAGCACTTGTGGACACGGATATGTCCTATCGATCGACTTAGAACCTACTCTTTCTCCGATTCCTTCACGCACCGTCAAACTCATTCTCGCTATTGAGAACTCTGTCTTTCCCTTACCCGCACTCTAGGTATCGTCTTGTCCGCAGTGTGACTCGGTGTTGCATGCTTTCTTGATCTGTGCACGTGTTGGAAACGTCGTCTATAGTGCGAGAGGCTGCGTGGGATTGATGACTCGGAAAGTAGGATTTGGGTAAAAATCTTCTGCGTCATTGGATGAAGGTGGCTGAGACTTATCGTAAAACACTCACTGTCTTCCTTCGCACCACACCCATTTGTAACACCACCCATTGCTTTTCAATTCTCCCTTTTCGTAGCCCCACCAGCGTCTCGCACCACGAATCTGCTAGGCGTATCAGTGTTCAGAAGTTCAGAGGCATGACAGCGCATGTAATGAGATGGTGGTGACTGGCGCAGAGGAAGTGGATGTCGGTGGTGCGTGTACGTTAGGAGGTGAGTGTTTGTGACAGAACCTTTGTGAGGATGTGAGTATAGGGTTCTTGGGTTACCTTGGACTTGGGCTCAAAAGCTATGAGGCATTAATTGGACGATTGACTAAGCGAGAGGTTCATTAGGACGAACCCCGTGTGGGGAACAGAGGCCCGTGAGCGAAGAGACCGAAGACTGCAAACGCTGAAGAAAAACGTTCAAAGTTAATCTGAATAAGATCTCAATCTTTCTCCGGTATAGAGAGACTTAAGCCAGATGATGGAAATCAAGCAACAATGTATACGGTACATATACGGCTCAGTATTGGACCTTCTCACCACTCCGTCGGGCAAACCCCGGGCCCATCCTATATACCAAACAACAATAAATACCGATCAAAGCAAGCAGAAGATATTCTCTTCAATCATCAACAGTGGAGCTGAAACCTGCTTTCTTTCACTGAAACCCTCTTGATCTGCAGTAGCTTGAATTCATCAACATGAAAGGGTCCATTGCGTCAGTTTTTCTCGTAGCTCTCACTTTGGCGTATCGTTTGTGTTGGTGTGTTTTCGGGCCATAACGATAAGCTCAGATCGTTCTTGGCCTTGAAATACACCAACGCGTGTTTTATTGACATATCTCGTCGATATGCTATTGCTACTGTCCCATATAATCCAGTCAGTCAGGTTTGAGGTTTCACGATTCTCTGCTTACCCCGAGTGCCATTAGGGTGTTCTTGGTATTCCTGATCCTTGAGCGCGCACTCCATATGACCATGCTCCTCTAGACACAGAAATTACATTGGCATGCTGCATGCTCATATGTCACTTTCGCAAGCTGAATAGTTTTCTTACGATCCTACGGTGCCTGCCAACTCTAATCAGCTGTTCATAAGAATGTGGTACGTGTCACATTGCATTCTAACTTCGTCCTCACGAATTCTATCCAGGTAGTTGCCCACATCTCAAGTTGCTGTTCTGCAGATGTCGAGTCGAAGGGCTTGTTATGCAGATGCACTGGAAACAAAATCGAACTCGCCAGTGACAACGATGTACATGTTACGTCAGACCCGATGTTGATCAGTTTTTAACAAGTACGTGTCTATCACATTCTAGATGAACTCTCGCATAAATTGTATCTAGGCAGTTGTGCAGGCCTCCGGCTGTCATTCTAACGCTGGTCAGTTAGGCAACTTACTGTCAGTACGCAAGGAATTCAACTCTCCAGCACCAGCGATGCACATACCATACCATCTTCGACACCGACTCGCATTCTACCATCTCCGCCTGGTTAGTAATTTTGATCAACAATTTATCTTCTCCCCCTCTCCTCGCTTAAGTGCCACTCTCGTCATGCACAGCAGTTGACCCTTGATTACTTACTAGTTTAATTGGAGTACTTACCGTTTTAATGCTGATGATCTCCTTCATTGCAATCCTCGTGGTTCCAGTGGGATGGAAGCCCAGCATATGGACTCAGCCGTATTGATGATTTCCAGTATCCATGCCCGGCTGATAGTTTCCTGTACAACCCGACTGAGCTGACTTCTCGAACAGGCGCTATTTCAAGATGGACAGATATTCCAGGTCAACATCTGTATGGATCACATCTGTGTTTCTTTCGGTCTGCTTCAAGGTCGTCCATGCGGCTTCGAGAGTGGAATCCCTCCTGCGAGTCCATGGTGTAATTTCTGGGGAAGTCGAATGCGCCCCAAAGAGATGCTGCGCTTGTCCTATGTAAGCATGATGCTGAGTACGTGAACAAATGCTGTGCAACCTAACCAAGTTTCCCACAGCAGTCGCACCAGAGGCGCAGCATTTTTCTAATGCCCCCGTGGAGAAGCACATACGATGAACAAAAGGATGCAGGGCACAATGCACAGCTGCCATATGGTAGGGTATATATGTGCAAAGCGGCGCCTAAGGCCGATAGCTGCACTCGCATCCAGAAATTCACCATCCCTCAAGCTTTTTGCTGGTAAAGCGCTGGCCTCTCGGTAACACCAGATTATCATCTGTATCCCCAACGCGGATAAACTGATGTTTGGCTTGACCAGGAGCCCATCTTCAAACCGCTGCCAGTGTCAATCATATCGCGCACTGATAACAGCAGACCTCACTTTCGCACCTTTGAACACTTCTAAAGTAATACCTTGCCCATACTACTTCTCGGTTTCGCTGACGGAGACACAGCCATGGTCTCTGTGCCGACGTCGAAGGCAGCTGCTACGACATCAATCCTGACACCGTCAATAGATTTGAAGGGTCACTGAGGATGGATTCGATCTATATCCTACTGTCCAGATGGCCAGGAAATGATCAGCGGATCTGATGATAAGACCGTTCGGCAATGGGATCTGAAGGCAGGAAAAGAGATTAAGGAAGCGCGGGGTGTTTGCGAGGGGAGGGTATGGGCAGTGGCAGTATCAAGGGATGGTCGATGGATTGTCACTGGTGGTGGGAATTGGAATAGTGCCCAGCTGAAAGCCTGTGAGATTGGGACTGGGATTGTGAAGACATTCGAAGGACACTCGGAGAGGATCAACTGTATTGATATCTCCATGGACAACACGCTGCTTGCAAGTGGGTCAGAAGATAAAACAACGCGGATATGGAATTTAGAGACCGGTAAACTGGTAACTGGTCCATTCGAGAGTGTCATTTGGGTGGCCGCAATTCGATTGTCAACAAACTCGAAAAGGCTCGCAGTGACGTCAAATGTGGGGAGGTCTTTTGAGGTCTGGGATGTCCAGTCACAGAAATTGGATGTCAGAGTAGGGGGATATGAGGTAGGAGGCAGATCTGCGCCAATGTTCTGGACAAACAACAACGAAACCTTCATGACCGCACTCAACTTCACTACAGATGATGATGCTAGTGCAATTTATGAGTTCGACGCGTCGACGCTGGAGACTGTCGGAGCTCCCTTTGAAGGGCACACCAAGGATGTCACCGGCCTAGCACTTTCATTTGACCACGCTCTCCTCGCCAGCGCTTCCTTTGACAACACCATCAAGCTCTGGGATTGCGAGTCCCGCCAACTTCTTGCTTCCTTCAACGTTCAAAATCCTCGGGTTCTTATCCTATCACCCGACTTACGCCAGCTAGCTTACACGACAAACACCAAAGATGATTACAAGGTCTGCATCTGCAATACTCCACCTGACGTCCTTGCTCATACCAGTGTACGTATTCCCCGCAAAACATTTATTGTTCGTGTGTTGACATTTTCTTACAGACCAGTGCACACAAAAAGTCAGCCCGTAGTAGTGTCTTACTAGATGTGCGCGTCTCATTCTTTTGCTCATTACACCACTCACCTATTGCTATCGCTGCAGTCTGACGCAACTCGTCGTCTTCCTGCTAGGTACTGCAAACCACCAACATCTGTCATACCTATGGCGCCAGAACCTCCGCCTCCAATAGACTCACAGCAACCCATTTTTATTCGCCTCAGAAAATTTCTTCACTTCTCTCCTCGCACAACCACAGGACACCCTGGTGGGAACGGTCAAACTCGTGATCTATTGGATGTATGTTTTTTCCTCTTGTTTCTTTCGCAGTTCGTTCAACACTCGTGCTGCAGTTCCCTGCTACATCACCCTTACCTCTCAATTGTCCTCGTGCAAACAGTCCTCTATCAACTCTGTTGCCCGGTGCCAGGGCCTTTTTCAATCATGTTCGGCCGCCGTCAGACAAGGGAAAGCAAAAGGCGCGCGAACCAAAAGGCACAACTGTAAAAGTTGTCGATGTTCCACTTGGACGAGCTACCTACGTTTGTCTATAATTATGTTGAGTTGATGAATTCTGACCATGACATTCATAAGGCCGATGTTGTCGGTGTGGACGACGGGCAACGGCCATATGTTCTCTTCTTTTGCCTCAGCTGGTTCCAGAAAAAGGAGAAGAAGCCGGAACCTCGGCCACTCTATGATGACGAACTCGAGGACGACGAAACGGACGAAGATGTTCTTGATACAGTCGCCCTACCTCCCAGGTATATCAAACATATCCGTTCACAAAATTCATTCGCTAACGCAGTCTGTTAGAGACCAGCACGAAGAGATTGAATTGAAAACAATGATTAGTCAATCACAACTAGAAGCAGGACCATCTCGCCTGGTCGAAGTCGCTCTCCCACAGGAGACTGAGACCGCGCCGATAAAACCAGGTTGGATCACTTGACGATTGAACCGCAAGGGAGCGTCACCGTCTATTTCTGGAGGTGTAGAAGACATATTTCTCGGGATCATGCACCTCGATTGCTTGGTAAAGTGGCTCTCCCACTGTATTCGAGAGCTACGCGTGTCAAGACTATTGCTCGCATGGGAACATCTTCGAACCCAGTATATTTACTCCGTGGTGCGGGGTCGGCGAAGGAATTTCCATTTTTGCACTGCCAATGGACAAACCGATGGTGCTGTATGTTTGTGAAGGCCGCGAACCATTTTATGGGGTCACCAGATCTCTTTAGAGAGGTCTTCAAGAAACTGGAGAATGAGATTAGCGTCAGCACGTAATAATTCCCCGATCTAAATCATTATTGGGACATGAGCGAGCGATAAATATAGTAGAGACAGAAACATTCACCTTGAACGTTGAACACGATATCTAGCGCCTCGCGTATTCCATTGGCTTAAATTCTACCAGTCATTGGCGCGCGCAGATAAGGCAGAGATATCGATGCATCATGCTCGATTTCAAAGCGCTTCGTTCGTGTGTTTATTACAAGTTATAGGTTTCTAGAGTAATGCAGACAGGAAAAAAGCTAAAGGTAACGCAGATGAATAGCGAGGACAACATGAGGCGAGGATAACGTGAGATAGGCATGGTATCCAGAATGATATAAGAGATACGATGGAATAGCGTTCGACGATGAATGGTGAATAGCATGTGTGTGTTGGCAGATACAATATCATCAAAGAAAAGGATTCGCCCCTTATATAAAGTGAAAATTTATCCGAGAGGCTTGTACGAGTATTCGTCGGCGAGAAAGTGGAGTAGCAAGGCGTTCACCTCGGATGCGTGGGTTACAGTGAGATCGTGGCCACCATCGCTGATGGTGACGAGGTCGGCTTGCGGTACGAGACTGTGTATCATAGAAGCGTATTTATAGGGGACAGTTTTATCTGATGTGCCCTTTATTGAAAAAATCAGCATTATAGTGGCAGATCGATGGGCGATCTCTCACATGAATAAGCAACAGTTGGTTGCCAGAGCGTGCGAGCGATTGGAATGCAAAATGTAGGCCGCGAATAGGGCCGTCACGAAGAGAAGATGCCACAGCAGCGTTGTAGTGAGGGAGATGAGCGGTTTGGAGACGTACAATCTGAGGAAATAGTACTCAGTAGTTGTCAGATAGGTGGTCATGAAAAAACAGACTTCTTGTATCGGATTGGTTTCACAAGGTTCCGAGGATTTAGAGGTATTTGCAAGGAGACGCATGTAATGCTACGTCAAGGTCAGACGGGAGAGAAAAGGGAGCCGTCCCTCAAGCTTACTTGGAAAGGTGGGAGGGCGGACACAGTTTGCACGAGGGGAGTTGACATGAATTTTGCGGTACGAGAGATATCGCTCGACTATATTAGATAAGTTAGATTAAGTATTTGCCACGTTTGTTGCCGATTACCTCTATGATACCTGCTGAAGCAATAAGAGCGACTTTTCCATTTACCAAATGAGGGAAGTGGGCTGAAAATGCAGTCGCAACGCCACCTCCCTATTTGCAATCGGAGAAAGATTAAGCAGTAGATCAACGCAAGATGACAAATTTACCATCGACAATCCAACAATGAATGCATTGTCCCACTTAACGTATTGCATAAGGAGCGCGAGTTGGGTGGTGTGAAGGGTGGTATCATAAGTTACTTGGGGGGCATCCGAGTAACCGCGACCATACAAATCTACGAGATCAATGGGTTCGTAACATAATGCGCATTAAAAGACAACAACACACCATAGAGAAGTACACGGTATCCTTGTGAGGCGAGTACAGGCGCTACGTCTTTCCAGACGATGGCCGGGATGGAAAGTCCATGTATCAAAACAATCTAGCAGTCATGATAAGTACATGATACTCGCGCACACAAAGAAACGCACACGCTGTCCGTCCTCCGGTCCTATGAGCCAATATCGCACCTGGGTAATGTACTGCGTCAGCACTTGAACACGAGAGCGCTTCAGCAAAGTACGTACCCGTCCTAGAGGTAAGTTGGCGTATGCACCTCCACTATACAAGTCCTCTGGATATACTTTCCACGATGGCGATGAGCTCGGAAGATGCGCAAGGGATGTATGGATGATGGGTAAAGTAGGTGGCCGCGGGAAATTGGCCAAGAGATAAACGGTAAGAAACAGTGGGGGAATGACTAGGGCCAGATGGTGAAATGGGGTTAAGCGCATCGTCGCTGACAACGATGAAGATATGCACAAGAAGGGTATCGCTGGAAGTAATTAATATCACGCACAAATCGCGTAAAACATGAAACGCACGTACGAAAGCCGTAGCGTTCTCCAAAACAGGAGCCGGCATAATATTGTCACATGACTACAGCTTATGCAGCTCCGACAGATCACGTGACGTGCACCGCGCGTTGGGTTGGCGTTGTTTGGCTTTTTGATTTCTTGCGGCCGACGACTCCTTGCTCATCGTCACCCACGACGACCACGACCCGTACTGACAAGGCCTCTCACTGCCAGTCGTGATGAGCAACGAATATCCACCCTTGGCTCTTGATGACCTTGTTCATATCATGTCCCTCTCCCCGGCGCCACCACTCGAAACACTGGATGACTCTCAACTACCCCTCCGCCCCAAAACTACATCTCCCAGGCCCCAAATCGACAATGCCATACGAGAGGTGCGCATGAATATCACGGACATGCATGATCTTGATGGAGGGGAGAAAGAGCTACCCGATATGGTGCGTTATGTTTCGTTTCATACCATCACAGGACGTTTGACTCGAATTTCATATCTATGCTAATAGGTGGTGAGGGAAAGTGGTGTCGTGAATCCTGACCCAGAGCAAGTCATTAGACAGGCTGAGATTATATCCTGCCTAATTGTCCAGCGCGATATACTTGTGCGACAGGCAGAGGAGCAGAGATTGCGGTGGAACTCAGAGAAGGATGGTTGGGCACGGATGGCCGAAGCACTTATTACACAGCAGGCCAAGCACAGGGGCTCGTCTGACAAGGATGAAGTAAGTCATTTTTCTCTCCTTTTAGAGATGTTGGTTTAGCAAGACTGCATGGTCGTCTTGATAAATCACTTTTCACGCCAATGACTCGGCCACGATGCTGCTGGCAGCAAATTAGTTTCATAGACATGTAAACAAATCATTACACTTTTTGTCGTTCTCCTTGCCCTTCTTTCTTTAGATTACCAGTAACTGACTTTGATTCAGGAGCTTGAGCGACAACATGCTATAACTGAAGCAGATAATCGAAGTCTCCGCCAACGAGTGAGCTCGTCCTTCCATCATGCATCCCTATCGCTGATCTCCCACCAGCTTCACGAAACTCAATCGCGTCTCTCCATCCTCGAAGGTGAATTATCCCGCCTCCGCCCCTTACTTCTCATGCAACCTCTTGCATTAAATGGGCATGCCACCCTGAATCAAGTGCCAAAGGCTCGTCCACACCGGCGGAGAAGGAAAGATCCGCCAACTACTGAGGACGAAGACCCTGGCCCCGATCCTTCTGACGAGGACCATCCAGGAGACCCTGAGGATACGCCTACAACCACGCCAAAGCAGAAATCTCGTATAGCTGCAACAAGTCTCCATACACATCTTTCCAAGCGCCAGCACTCTCAAAGACGTGCTCCGCGAGTTCTAACTGCGGATGCAAGAACAGAACACTTGCTGCTAGCGGCAAAGAGAATTGGAAAACAACGTGCTGGCATAATGGCTGGCCTCACACAGGCCCTGGATAAGCGGCGAGAGGAATCAACTTCAACCATTGTTGCTACCCCCAAGACACCAAAGCGCACGACAGCTGTTCCTCCTGGGCCAGGGTACGTCTATCTTAATAGTTCTATGCGCCCAGGTGCTGTGCCGGTGCTTGTTCCGGCATATTCACATCACCTGCTACAAACCCCAAGCTCTTCTAAGACAGCGGCTTCGGCATCTTCCTCCACCCACCAACTGAAGAAGCAGCAAGGTGCGCGTACCCAGAACCCACCAACGCCTCTGGATTCTCTTTTGAGTGCAGCAAGGTCAATGATGGATAATGAGGAAGATGAGGAAGAGACTGTCATTGGCAACGAGGCGTTCACGATCAAGCGATATACCTGACAGTCCTGTACCGAAACGCAGGAAAATCGTCGCTCGGGACAAGGTCAGTGCGCTCAGAGAACAAACAAGAGATCAAGGTGCAGGACAACCAAGCAATAGCTTAGCTGCCTCCAGTTCAAACTGCTGTTGGCAGGGTTAGATCGGACTGGATGTTCTAGCTGATCAAGCTGCCGCATTCTCTTCGCAAGATCAACAGAGTCAATTGGAACCTCACTCACTGCCTAAGGGTAAAGGAAAGGAGAAGGCTTCCACGATTGCTGATAAATCCCCCGACAATCCAGCTGAGAGAAAAAAGCAGGTCAAAGAGGAAAGCAGTCCGTATCTGACGTTGCGCCTCAGCCCCCTCGGTCCCGTCATCCCTCACCTTTACCCCGAGCAAATGCAGTTGACTGGGGTTCTGGACCGCCAAATCTACGTCCAGTTCAGTGGACCGAGGGACCTATACAAGTTTTCGTCCAGAGGACCACGGTTCTACCCGTGAGATCGCAGCCGCCTCTCAGCCTATAACAATACCCCCTACTCCTCCTCCACGACCTGACTTGGCTGATCAAGCGATACATGATACTCCCAGCAGCGCGGCTACGCCACCGCGTATTCCTCTCGCTGAGCCCACTCCCGATCCCAGCGTGGATACGCCCCCCAGTCAGTCCGTACTCCTTGATCCATTTCTCGTACCTTCTTCTCCTCAGAATGAAAGCTCCACCGGTGTGGCCTCGTCATCTGCACTACACCAACGGGCAGTCACGGCCCCGATTAGTAGCTGGGGAGATGCCCCGTTTGATCTGCAAGCTCATCTGCGACACGAGACCGCTCCTGGAAATACTAACGCAGGGAGCGCTGATTCGGTTGCTGATAACATCGGGACCGAGTTCTGGTCCCGCAACTGGAATTGAATCTTTAGCAATCACGAAGAACAAAGAGGTCACTAGGGTTGTGGGCCAAGATGTCCCAAAGAGGCAGCGAAGTCCTTACAGTCAAGTGGAGCAAGGAGGAGGATGATCTACTTGCTCAGGTCAGTGTTCTGTGATTATACAGCAGCCAGATCATTGACACGTTTTGATAGGCTGTTGCCAAATACGGACAGAAATGGGACTTGGTTCAGAAAGCGTTGCCATCGAGGGGATATCACCAAGTTCGGCAACGATGGCTTCGCAAGCTAGGTACGCTGCAAAATATTCATTACTTGCTCCCGAAGCTTATCCGGCTCTAGGGGTCTTCGACAGCAAGCCAGACTTGTCTTCATTCCAAACTGGTAGCTTCCCATCTGCCTCGCGTTTAGGAGAAACGCCAGGATCACCTGTTACAGCTGAACCTCCTCCAAATCCGAAGCTAGGACTTGCTCCTTTGAGCAGTGAACTTGCTTTTTCGTCGTTTTTATCTGGAAGAGCGGAAAGTCGATCGTTGTAGCAAAATTATAGTTGCTTTGGTAATTGCTGACACTATTGTACCTTACTGTTCATTACTAGTGGCACCCGCCGGTCATAGTGTAATTGGTAATTGTTGTGCGGGTATTATGTAGCAGTTGCTTGATTTTTATCGGAATGTAATGAAGAACGCGACATTTGGGTGACTGCGAGTTGTGCTACTGGCCGCGGCTAATTCTGGGCATCGTGGAGAGAAGGGCAAGGTCATTTCTTGGTGGCAAGCTGCGAGCAGAAGTGATTCCAAACTTTTTACTAGAGTCCGCATGGATTTTCTTGTTTCACCTCCCAGTATAGTATCCACTCTGTAGTACTGCGTAATCATATCGATCGATGGCACATATGAGTGCTGGCGAAGTACGATAAACAGCAAATTCCTCCGATCCTACATTAGTACGCTAACAATCAAGTTCTTGAGCTTCATAATGAAGACACGAAATAACGAGTCCAGGTCCGAGTCCATATGATGAAAATCACTCTCCGGTGTCCACCGTTTACACGATGTTCACCGTCGCGTTGCGAAATTCGAGGAATGGGTACCAATCCGCCTACAAAATCAGCCTCAGACGACGAATGAAGATAAACACTGAATATCTCGTACCCCAATGAGGCAAAAGTGCGTGAGCGTAAAGATAGCAGGACCCTTTGCAAGGTAAGATGGTATGGTCACGGTGAAGTTCTGGTAGTAACCATCAGGATCCATGGGCCTGCATAAAGATAAGATCCTAAACCGTCTGCAGGGTCGGGGCATGAACCGTTCTCGCAGTTAGCGATTCCTAAGGCAATGCCAACCTGAACGGTAGATTCCTAGGATCGAAGTTGTCAGAGTGACGCATGATGCTGAGAAGCGAACCAACTACCAACCGGTTGAATAACCTGAGCGGTCACTTCCTGACCGGGGTAGAAGTTGTCCCCATTCTGAGGGAACCCTAACTCGATCGTCTAAGCCAAGGTGGCGGATGTCCCTGCAGCAAAGACAGCTAGCACTTGAAGAGCATGTTAACGAGAAGTTGACTGTGAGGGTTTTCAAAGGCGGTTTCTATGTCTTGCTTGTATGGCGGGTAACTTTATACCCAAGGTGGCATTATCTACAGCAGAATTGAGTTTCAAATGATGGATATACTGCGTCACGCATTGAATCATCGGACGGCTTGAGGAAGAACAATAACTGGCAGAGTGAGCGTAAATGTTTGATCTACGTGCGTGGGGACCTAGGTTGGTCAGGGTCCGAGCCTGTTGCGGTAGAATTCAGTTCCGTATGACTGAATTTGTGATAAGCTCACCTACTAGAATGTACAAAGTAGTCGGATGTATCGGACCTGCCTTGGCCTGAAATCCAGAGGGTCAACGCCAAGGATGTTGAGTGAGGCCATTTGGGCCTGTCAGAAGTTCTAGTTATAAGTGAACGGAAAACAAATTCAGCCATGTGAGATTGAATTCTACCTGAACAGCCTCGGGTCCTGACTAACCTAGGTACCCGCGCCCTCTGATGCTAATTCTAAAGTAGTCTCTCGGAAGGTTGATACATCATACGAAGCACTTGAATCGCCCTACACCATTCAAGTACTGTCGTGTCGTGGTCAGAACAGACTCGGAAAAAACTGGCCGCCAAGTGTTTCCAAACTGGGAAGCCCCTGGGCGCCAGAGGCCGGGTTCAACGCCCATCACCAGTACCCAAAGCTCGCCTTCCAAGTAATTAAAAGAAAGAGGGAGAATCCAATTCCCGTCACTGCCGCAGCAAATTAATGACGAAGTGGGCTGCAGGAAGAGATGCAAAGACAACCAAGTAAGTTATGCCAAACACAGCCATCAATGAGCATGTATATATAGGGTCCTGAGCGTAAGTACTCAAGCATTTCATGTGGATCGACGACCGTAGATATTACTGTAGTGGTGTTTGACTCAAACTTTAAAGGCAGACTGAGTACAGCCTACTAGCTCATACCTTTTCGAATTCGCCCCACGACGTACTTTGTACGAGTTCAGCAAGACCGGCTTGTGGTTAGCATGCATCATAATTTGCATGTATTCGTGTACAGTATGTCATAATGATAATACATAGTAAGGGTGAAGCTGCAACGATTCAAATACCTAGAAAGAAAACAATAATGTAAAATATACATCATCCAATGACTCGCCCGGAGCCTAGGTACCGTTGCCCAGACGTATCAGGTTGTTTTTGGAATTTTCAATTTTAGTGTGAGATACTTTTACGCTGTTTTACCGTCATGTGACGTCCGGATTCGGCCAGATTTCTGGAACCCTTCTGCTTTTGGGGGCGGGCAAGTCTTTGTGTGCCGCTTTGCATTCTTTCTCATTGCCGGCCAATGCAATCTACGTTTCGAGTTCCTTTCGACGAACGATTTGCCAAACAAATCAAATTATCTTGTCGAGTCCCGCCAGCTGCGTGTGAATCCATGACAAACAAACAAATCTATGAGGAGGACAGTGCTAGTGCTAAGAGACAGAACTTTGAAGCTAGTTTGTGTGCATGTGTGTGTGGGGGGGTGGTGAAATGTCTGTGAGTCTTAAATGGTTGTGCTACGGATCAGTGTGT